CATGGGATGCCAAGAACCAAGCGTGACATCTTCCTCTGCCTCTTGGTGGGCTCTGTTTTCAGCCAAGTTGTGAGTATGACTGCTCGAATCTTCTGCCACTACAGCTCTGACTAGGTAGGAGAAGTGGCCTGTTCAAGGAATAGAGCCAACTTAAGACTGCCTGACTCCATCCTGAAGCATAAGGCAGATAAGAGTGGAAGCTCGCTCAACTGAAACTCACGGCAGTTGACACACAAGTGGTTTCTCCATCTCCATCCCTTCCACTCAACCTCTCAAACTGTCTGACCAACACAAAAGACGAAACCCAAGTTAAGGTGGGACAAATCATGTAAATTACGAGATCAATGGAAAAACAGTAATTTTACACCTATGCCTCTATTCTATTAAACCTTACACAGTTGCATTTCCTTACATGAGCATCATGTTCAAGTTCGGCAACACAGGAAAATGTGCATGTCCCCAGACAGCTCTTAACCCCAGGAGAAGCTGACACCCCACATCGTGGTGCCTGGTCTGATAGATGGGACTACAAATTAAACAGACAGTTCATTCACAGGATCTGTTCATTTGTTTTTCACTGGCAGGGGTGAACAATATGTGGACTATCAGTCATCTGTGCTAAGTCAGGTCAAATCTGATAGGATTTCTTCACCTTTACACAATTACATTGCTTCAGAGCTGGGTGTAAGCCAAGTCCTACTTTTCCAGTGATTCCTATCACAAAATTGGTCCCATGTTTCCAGACAGAAGTCTCAACTTAGAGCTGAACTTTGGAACGTCCTGGTCTGCGAAGTGTACTCTTATAGGTTCAAAACTCTGCAGTGGTTTTAAATGCAAAGTTCTGCCCTCTACCATTAATCCTCTCTTCTGCGCTGGTCCCTGTTTCATAAAATGACAGAAATTTTACCACCACTTAGGGTTCTCAATCCACACAAGCCTTTTCCAGGATCTGGCTGAGCCACAGTTCCTAATTTAGCTTCTCGAGTCTGGGTGTTGACATTTCTCAACTGTTAAGCTGCAGTATAAGATTTCACCAGCAGGTGCTCTATCTTCATACAAGGTATGCTCTCCAAATTCCTTGAATCTGAGGCTCCTGGTTACATACTATCATCTGCTGAAGACCCAGAGAAAACCCCGTATATAGAACATCTCAAAAACACAATGTAAATATAAAAAACTGAAAAGATCATAAAGCCCAAACCCCTTCTCTATACATGAGACCCAGCAGAGACCCAGAAAGACTTCTGAACAGAAAGTAATCTGAACTAACACCTGGCTGCTCTAAAAAACCCTTGACTAAGAAAACACTCTGGGAGAAAAGAGTGTGGGAAATTATTTTTCTAGTTTTTAGTCAACAACAACCAAAGAGACAGACAAACATGACAATACAAAACACAATGCAGGGAAGTCTACCTACAGGAATTCATAATGACTGGGAGGTAGTACTAATGCTACTTTTCTTTCAGAATAAACATTCTAGCACCTGAAGCAAGACACAAGGCTGGTGTGACTATTTCCCTTTTCCGCACCCTTTTCCCAGGGTCTGGGCATCACCAGTGGGGGCACACAGAAACAAGTCGTGCTTGCACTCACACTGCTGGTGTGACACGAGATAGTGGCTAAGAGCTGTGGCTGGCAGACCTCAGAAGAAAAATAACGGGTTTCAGGTCCAGTGCCCAGCCCCAGGAAAATGACTTTAAATAGGAAGTTATCATTAAAAACCGCAAATCAGGTTCTGGAATTGGGACCCCCTCAAATGGTATGTAAGCATTTGTGACAGAGGACATGTGCACAGTTCTCGGGGAAGACAGGCCCCAGGACCCTGAAAAGGCTAAGAGCCACCATACCCCAAAAAACAAAACTGAGAGCAGGTCACGGCAATGAAGACGTTAAATACGAACTGAGGAAACCCCGCTCACTCTCTCTTCCCAAGCGGCAGCGCACTGATGGAGTGATCTACCAAAACGGAGCAAAAGCCAGACAGCTGATCCTGGAACAGCATGAGAAAGAGGGAGGGTTTGGTGCCGAGGTGAGAAAACCTGACCGACAAAATAATGGCAGCAACAATGCTAACATCTGTGTTTAAGCTGGATCGTTATCGAAGATTCCACGAGCAATGAGAACATTCTACAACCAGAAGAGCAGGTGGTCTCAAACTCTAATTTTTAAAAAGATAACTTTTGGGGCGCCTGGGTGGCTCGGTCGTTAAGCGTCTGCCTTCGGCTCAGGTCATGATCCCAGGGTCCTGGGATCGAGCCCCACATCAGGCTCCCTGCTCAGCGGGAAGCCTGCTTCTCCCTCTCCCACTCCCCCTGCTTGTATTCCCTCTCTCGCTGTGTCTCTATCAATAAATAAATAAAATCTTTAAAAAAATAAATAAATAAATAAAATAAAAAGATAACTTTTGCCTGAGTCCGTTTTTCTTGGTCAGGAACGCTCGTGCAAAGCCCTTCCTCTCCCCGGCCTGGACCCTCCTTGCTGCCACGGCGGCTCCACCCCATCAGGCTGTCTGTGGTCTTACTCCGGCCCGCACTTAAATTAAACCACTGCCTAGGAAATTTCCTACAAAATCTCATTAGGATGTATCTTCAGTTTGTAATGGTTCCCTTCTACTAATGTGGAGTGTCCCCGTTCTTCTGAAAAAGAAGCACACCTGGACGGGCCACAATGTCGGGGTAACAGTGTTTACTACGGGCCAAGCCGGAACGGGGGCCCCCAGGCACACACAGGGGCAGGTACGGCCCCAGGAGAAGCCAGGCTGTTTTCCTACAATGCCAACCTGACTCGATGTCAGGTCATGTCACTGAACCATGGTTTTCAAACCAGAGCAAACATACACATTTGCACGAACTGTTGATATTTTTAAACGAAGCCAACAACAATGACAAAAGCATGAGACTCTGAAGCAGTTCTGAGCCTGTAATGGCCCACTCTGGGTGGAGAGCCTCATCTTGCAGGAATAAGCTTCATTGTCCTTGGCGGCGAGGATGTTCCGTAGGGAAGGTTAAGACACACTAATGTAAGTCCCTGCAGGCACAGGGGGAGAAGCCACGTAAAACAATAAAAAACTCAAACTGAGTCACACGGCCTGAAGAACGAGACACAGAACAGTAACACAAATTGGGAATTCCTACAGCAAACACTGCTGTCATCAACGGCTGCACATACGTCAACTCATTTGGTCAGCTCCGCAACCCTGGAATCGGGCACTGTATTATCCCATTTTATAGATAAGGAAACAGACGTACAGAGACACGCCCCAAACAGCACAGCAATCAGGGTGCTGCGAGGATTCGGACCCTGGCAGGCCAGCTCCGGAGCCCACCGCCTCAATGACATTGCCCCCGTTGAGATGGCTTCACCCGAGATGTCCTCCGTGCTTCCCAGAAGAAACTGCACTCCTAATGGCCACAGGCGCCAAGGCCTAGCACCTCGGTAGGTGCTCTGATGAACAGCCCAAGTTGGGCTGAAATAGTTACACTGGAAAATGGAGCATATGTTTTTATCCTACAGATAAGGAAACCAATCAGAGGGGTAAAGCACCTAGAGCTGACCCCCAAATAATGCAGGGGATGCGGTGCTGACCCCCACCCAGTCAAAAATCTACATGTAACTTTTGACTCCCCAAAATCTTAACTACCAATAGCCTACTGTTGACCAGAAGTCCTACTGATAACGTAAACAGTTGATTTATGTATGTTATACATACTATATTCTGTATTCTCATAATAAAGAGGGAGAAAAAAAATGTTATCAAGATAATCATAAGAGTAAATACATTTACAACACTGCACTGTACTTATCGAAAATGACCGTGTTATGAGTGGACCCATACCACTTAAAGCCGTGTTAAGGATCAACTGTAATTTCAAATTATATTTAAATAGCAAGTGAGATATGGAATCTGGGTTTCAACTCGGGTTCATCTCACTACGAAGCCTAAGTTCCTTCTGTTCAGTCAGGCCCTAGGAATCCAACCAGTCAGGAATGATGGTGATCTTTGGCATCATGTTGGTACCTGAGACACTTTGTTCTATATATAACCACAAAGCAAGATTTCTCAACCTTAGCACTACTGACATTTTGGGTTGGAAAATTCGTTTGGGGGCTGCCCTGAACATCGTAGGAAGTTTAGCAGCATCCCCAAGGCCAGGTATCAGGTACAGCAGCCCTGGAGCTAATTCTTGAGCAACTGAGAAAGGGGAGAACTGCCAAACACAGAAAGGAGTAACCAGATGTAATTCAAATGTTCACAACCTTACAGAAGTTTTTATAGGACACTTCCACTCAGAACTAATTAAAATTAACATAATACACAGCACACTCTGAAAGACACAAAGAGTCTAAGCATTCTAAGTTAGTAAATTAACTGTCACTATAATTCAGTAAAATACATGTCAATATATATATATGAAGAACCCAGAAAGGGCCTTTCACTTTCTTGGGAAATTGATACACGAGCACCTGTTTGTATTAGATATATTTTATAGCTTCTAAAGTTGTATTGTATTATAATCTTTCCTTTTCAGAAAAGCTCAGAGACTTTCCTAACTCAGGAACAAGGGCTGCTTCTATTAACAAGGGAAGTCAGATATGTTCAAATCACACTTCAGGGATATTTCTGTATAAAAACAGACAGTGGACTAGAATCAGAATGCCTTTTACCTTAAAAAGCACAATGTTTAAACATGTGTAATAAAATGCGAGGTAGAACATTTATGCCATCGATTTCCCTTTCTTCCGCACTCTGTTAAACATGCATCTAAACAGTAACCAGTGGCACCTGGGTGGCTCAGTCATTAAACGTCTGCCTTCAACTCAGGTCATGATCCCAGGGTCCTGGGATCGAGGCCCGCATCAGGCTCCCTGCTCAGTGGCGAGTCTGCTTCTCCCTCTCCCACTCCCCGTGCTTGTGTTCCCTCTCTCGCTGTGTCTCTCTCTCTGTCAAATAAATAAATAAAAATCTTAAAAAAAAGAATAAACAGCAACCAGCCACTCACCTGGATGACTTTATAGAAGTAGGCGTACTGCCGAGCCGTGTTCTTGTATTGGCTGAAAACGTCATGGATAGCTTGTGTGGACTGAAGGTCCCGAACTTCATCCTCCTCAAAGTAGAGAGGAGTGTCATATTCGCTGGGGAGGGTCTGAATATAGGGCTGCCAGAAAGAGTTAGGGTCAGCTCGCTCACACAGCAGGTGAAAGGCCAGTGTGATATTTCCCATAGCTTGAAGAATCCGGTCTTGAGAATATAAGGGCCCTGAATCAACCCAGAAGTTAACAGCGTAAGTTCCAAAAAGCGACTTAAAAAGTATTCATTCAAAATATATATTAAAGTTACAGAAATAACTGGAAAGTTCTGTAATATTTAGAGTAACATGCACCTTTCTTCCGACACTCTTCTACTATGTCAGATTACAAGCACGCAAAACAATGTGAATTTGGGGGAACATTTCACTAGTTTGAGAAAACATCCAAATATGGTCCTTAGCGCCACAAAATAAAATTTCATACTTTTATCATTTGCACTTTGCCTTGAACAGTCAGAAATTATTCTCACCCAACACTGAATTTTTAGCAGATTCGACAGTCATTAGTAATTTTCGTGGAACCCATAAAAACAATTCTTCTGCCTAGGAGGAAAAAAATAAGAAAATCATATAATCATCAAAACATGTCACAATCTTCAGCCCCTTCATCTGTGGTCAGAAAGCCAATCACACAACACACATGAAGTACTGTTTAAGGTTACAAGTTAGCACTTCATTTCTAACTATCAAACGTATTTTTATTTTTTTTAAAGATTTTATTTATTTGAGACAGAAACAGAAAGAGAGAGAGCACAAGAAGGTAGGAGGGGCAGAGAGAGAGGAAGAAGCAGACTCCCCGCTGAGCAGGGAGCCCGATGCGGGGCTCGATCCCAGGACCCTGGGATCACAACCCGAGCCAAAGGCAGATGCTTAACGACTGAGCCACCCAGGAGCCCCGAAATGTATTTTTAAATGTAAATATCTGTGGTATACTTAGATGAGTGCTAGCAGGGTTTAAAATCCTACTTCCAATAGAAAAACTAACCATATACATTAAGAAAAAAAAATGGGACTTTCAACTTTAATCTGAAGTAAACATAGCCATTTGGAGTGGAGCACAAAACCATTAATTCTTTGCTGCACTTAAGCTTTTAAGTTCGAAAAGCAAAACAAAACAAAATTTCTATCTCCAATAAAAACTTGAACCTGTCGATGTAAACTGCTCCTGCCGCTGTATTTTTGAAGCCAGAGGAACATTCCTTTCCCAACATGATTGTCTTTAAGGCACAACAGTTACCAGCAAAAGCACAAGTCCCTAGGACATGTTTTGGTTTACTGAGGTTTTTCCCAAAAACATTATCTGATTTTTTGCCAACATGAGAGGTTTCTTTTTGGTATGTGCTGTATATGTCCTATACTGCTTAAAACATGCAAAGAGAAGTGCCTTGATTGTGATGACAATATGGGTATGTGCGCACGTCGAACCCATCACAATGTCAACACTGAATATGTGCAGTTTTTTTTATCAATTATACCTCAATAAAGCTTAAAAAATGCACACGGTGAAGACAGACCACAGTTAAGATAATTGGGGCAGCATCCACATGAATGATGGTTCTCTGATACATGAGAAGAATGTGTGACATCCTGGTTACTCTTGCCTTCTGCCAATGTCTACCATTTGGATTCTGTTTATGTGTGTCTCTTCTCCTACTATACATAGATTATAAACATCATGAAGGAAGAAACCTCAGTTCTTTTGGAAGGCTGGTATAATAATGAGCAAGGTACTATTCATATACTAGACATTTAATAGCTATCTAATAAACTGGTATATGGTTTATCAACTTATCAATGAAAGGTTAACTAAATTTGACCAAAAACGTTGCCTGAGGTTTGAGGGGGCCCGAATAAATAACACTCATTTCCTCCATCCAAGTTCTGAACCCACTGCGAGAGACACAAGACTACAACAGATGGTCACCCAAAATATCACCTACTGAATCCCAGAATTAGACCGACTCCCCCACCTAGTTACAGGCAGAACTGGAGCCCCACGGGCCTCCCCACGTGTGGCCTGCCCTGTAAAGCACACAGCGGAGAGAGCGCAATGGATGCATATGGGCAACCAGCTCCCACCAAGAATCAGGCCAAGACCGGTTCCTTCTTCCCAAATCTTCAAACAGATTAGGTTACGCCTCCTCTTTAAGAAAGGCATGAGTGAGGGGCAGAGAGAGGCTGGGAATGTCAGGGTACTGCTGCTCCCTTCATCTGGAAGGAAGGACCCAGAGCAGAGGAAAAGCATTTGTCCCTTACCAGGTGTATACTGCTCTTCTTCTTTCCCTTTCAGCTCTGGTGGTACAGCGTCAGTAGGTGGCACTGCCAACCACTCAGATCCCCCTCCAGAAAACAAGTAAGCACCCTGGACACTGCCCATCCTCCACTCCAATCCACCCACCTGCACATCCACTCTATCACAGGTCCTGCGTGCTCCCCCTCCTAACCGCCTGAGCCCACATCCTTCTCTTGAAGTCTTAGAATCCTTTGAGGCATGTTCTGTGGTCTCCTGACAGAGGCTCTGAAACATGAACTGACTTGCCCCAGGTCACTGGTTAGCAGCATGGCTCCCAGAGAAGACAGACCGGAAGGGGCTGCCTAGAACACTGGTAAGGCTCTTCCGGGCCCCTGGTCAGCCTGGAGACCCCGAAGCAGGAAGCAGAGTGCTGATGGTGCACTGCCTGCTTGCCCATGAGTCAGAATCAGCCCAGACACCTGTCTCCCCATCCTGTGCTCGCCCTGCAGCACAATCCAAGCACACCGAGGGCTCCCGGAGCAAGTGATCAAAACTCACCTTGATGTCTCTCGTGGCTCTCAGACCAAAGCCCTCTTCTTTGAAGTTGACCATTTCAAAACCCTCAACAGAGGCTCCATTTTCAGAGGCCCACTTCATTAGGTCAGGGAAGTAATCTTCTCTTTTTCCATCAAAAGTAACAGACAGACCTGTTTCAATCCACGTGTCAGAAAACAAGAGCTATATTTAGGACCCATATCATTCTTTCTGCTCTCAGAAACTAAAAAACACACACTGGAAATAGTGATAACGCTCCAATCTTGAAATCAAAACTCATCACCAGGTAACGAGACTTACGGGGGTGACCATTTTGTAATATATGCAATATCGACTCCCTGTGTTGTACACCTGAAACTAATACAATACTGTATGGCAGTTAGGCTTTAATCTTAAAAAAAAATCTTAAAAAGGAAAGCCTAAAAAATAAACTGGTTTAAAAATTGTTTAAATAAATTGCAAAGGACTGAAATCACACAATGTTCTCTGATTACAACATAATCAAATTAGAATCAACGAAAAAAATCTTGAAAATTCCCAAATATTTGGAATTAAGCAGAACACTTCTAAATAACCCATGGACAAAAGGAGAAATCACAAGGAAAGAAAAACAAAACAACAAAAAAACGAATCACAGAACAGTCACAGTACATATCCTAACTAGTGACAGGAAAGGCGAAGTACAATCCTAAACCCTCGTCAGCTGCGGAGAAGAGTCTGCTGAGCCCAGGACATAGGGCTACTGACTACTGGGCTCTGTGAGGCGACTCAGTAGAAAGGGGAGGGCTTCACCACCTCACACATAACAGCAGCCACGCCCCCCCACATTAAGTCCAGCGTGCTGTGTCTCATAGGCAGCTTTGCTTCAGCAGAATTCCCAGAACAGAGAAATCCGTAGCTGACATGCGCACAGGAAGTGTGTATAAGGATGAGCACTACAGGCTTGATTCTAAGAGCACAAAACTGGACAGCTCTGCAACTGAATTCTGTTGAACAGTTTGAATGAGCTGGATCATATGTATCTACAAAGAAAACAAAATAGAACACCGTGTTTTTAAAACTTCAAGTGTTCTGGGGCGCCTGGGTGGCTCAGTTGGTTAAGTGTCCGACTCTTGGTTTCGGCTCAGGTCATGATCTCGGGGTCCTGAGATGGAACCTCATTTCGGGCTCTGAGTTCAGCAGGAAGTCTGCTGGAGATGCTCTCCCTCTGCCCCTCCCCTCTCTCACATGCGCGCACGTGCTCTCTCAAGTAATAAATAAATCTTTAAAAATTCAAGGGCTCTGATACCATTTATGCAAAATTTTAAAATACCACTTGCTTATGGGGTTATACAAGAGGTAGAAAAATATTCTCGGTCAAGACAAACTCCCAAGGGGGCCAAAAAGGGACTGGGATAGAAGCGTGGGGCTTCAGCTACGTCTGCAACATGTATTTCTTAAAAACAAATAATGAAAACACAACAAAGGATGGAGGGAGGGACAGGGATCAGACCAGCAGGTGGGAAGGAGGGAGAACTTGACCGGTGGGACTGATTCAGTTTGGGTAGGAGATTCTTAGGCGTTGTGTTATTTGAAAAGCCACGCAGAGGAAAAACCAAGATTTATTTGACAAATAAAAGGAGAGGAACAGGAACTTCACAAATGTGAGGAGCAGGGTGTGGAGCCCAGCCCAGGTGCCCGCGGCCACGCCAACACGACACCATCAGCGGTCACCTGGATCTCTGCAGCAGGACAGCCCGGCACAGGGCTGTGCCACACTGCATACGCAGAAAGCTGATTTTGTTAGGGACATTCTGAGACAGAAGTCACTCTTTGCTGAGAATTCAGGAATGCTCTAACCTCAGTGTGAGTTGTAGTTAGCCGTCTCTGCTAACAACAAACGCTCAGGACATACAAAAACTGTCCCGCTATAGATCTGGTGAGCCAGGATTGGCACGTCTACCATTTAGAGCAAAGAACCACATTATAAAGGAACCTGTCACCATCTGGGGTTCGAGACCATCTAAGCTAAAGACTGCATGTTTGTAGAAGTACACGGGAGCGCAATAAAACCTCAGAGAGCAAATAAAAAACCAAACCCTCTTCTGACTTTCATGGCAGTAAATAAAAATGGAGTCTAAGAAGGTTCTTCTCACCCTTTTAAATGCAGGCTCCTTATTATGTTTTCTCCTTCCACCTTCCATGTGGCCCTGCATACCAATCTTTATTTTTTGTGCTTTACAGAACAAAAACAATAGGTATATTGAATAGGCTTTTCCAAGCTGACACTTGGCCCCGTCACTGGCCTGGCTGAGAATCATTAAGACGCCTACTGAATACACCCTGTAAAAACAGAGCTTCAGAAATAGAACTACATCTCTTATTTAACCAAGAGGGGTTTGAGTTCATCGTAAATCTTGTGAAGACATTAATCTATTAGTGTATATTTGTGTGTTGACCACTCATGGCATTATGTACTGACCTCAAACCCTCAAGGAAACAAAATGTGGAAAAACAGATCTAAATATATATTTTGTAAAAAATAAATAAATAAAAGTTGTGTCATTTTATTTTATTTATTTTTAAAGATTTAATTTATTTGAGAGAGAGAAAGAGTGGTGGGGAAGGATAGAAGGAGAGAGAGAAGCAGACTCCCTGCTGAGCAGGAAGCCCAACATGGGGCTCGATCCCAGGACCCCAAGATCATGACCTGAGCTGAAGGCAGATGCTTAACCGACAGAGCCACCCAGGCACCCCAAAAGTTGTGTCATTTTAGTCCCTAGATATAAACACTTTTCCCCTATTCTTACCCCTTCCAAAGCAGGTAGCAGCACCTCAGAAATGGGACAGATCCTGGGACAGCTTCCCAGTACAGCTCTCCCAAATTCCAAGCCCCTTCCACTGTGACCTTCCACAGGCAGGAATGACACCGAGACTTTCACATAACCTCAAAACATTTCTGACTTGTGCCAAGTCTCTAAATGATTTTATTAAAATAAGATTATTCTAGAAAATGTACCTTTTTGTTTTTTTCGTATTTTCTCGACTAGAGACCGGATCTGCACATACTCTTCCCATTCCTTTCCTGGGCCAGGTGCGGGACTACTGCATTCTGTAACACAAAAGCCATGGCACTCAACTACTGCTTGCTTTCAACTCAACCAGCTAGTCTTCAGCACAAAGAGGACTGGGGTTTTGTTACCGCTGCTGGTTTACTTTGAAAGGACAAAGATACCACAGCCATGCTGATAAACATGGGAAGTACAAACCAGGTATACTTTTCAAAGCATATAAACCCTCCGAACCCATCCACATGCCACTTACTAAACGGGGACCCCCGTACCTAAGTGTGAGCACTGAGCTTGCAACTCTCTTACACTTGCTGTTCAGTAATTCTCCCCAGAATATACTTGAACATGGGAAAATCTAAAAAGCTAGGCTAAAAATGCATAACATTTCCCTGAAAACTCTTCTAGATGGATTTAAAAAAAAGGTCATCTTAAAAGTCAACATTTCTTTCTAGTTAAATCCTAGAACAATGGCTCTCTAAAGGAACCAGTTAAGTTGGACATAAGGACAATTACTCAACAAACATTGCACATCCATGTGTAAGGCTCTATATTAAGCACTCTGGGGGAGTCAAAAAATGAGATGGCACAGTCACTGCTCAAAAGGAAGCTGAGACTCTGCTGTAGGGCCAGAAGCAAAGACCAGCACTCGAGACTGGTGCTGGTGGTTCTGGAAGGCTGTGCCCTGGGCACCCGGCCTATCAGCAAGCTCTTTCCTTTTTCAACAACTGTATGAGTTTAAAGAGAGAGCCTTCTTCCCACGGCCACCTTTGTTCTCTGAGGAAAAGAGTGTATGTGGTAAACAATTAACACTAACAAGTCATAACGCATGGGCTGACTCATAACTATTAAGGTTAACCAGTCATTCTTCCATCAACAAGTCCTGACTGAGGCCCTGGAATACAAGAAGACAGAGCCTGTCCTCAAGCTGCCCGCAGTCCAGTGCGGGAGAGAGGTGGTAAGCAGTCAGTACCTCAGTGCTCTATGGGGGGCCCGCACCGCTGTGTGGGCCACAGGGGTCATAGGAGTCCACAGGATCACTTGGGGAAGGACCTGACCCCGACTCGGTTGCTGCCTGCTTCTGGCGGGAAGAGAAAGCTAAATTTTTACGTGGGGTTTAGCCTGTCACATAATCTGAACAGAAGGGGCAAAGAAAACGAGACAATGGAGTGAGTTAGTACAGTGACCACAGCTAAGTTTGAAAACTACATAGCACCCATTTAAATTCACAATTAAGAAAAGAAGTTACCAATTTACACTAATGTATTAAAGCAAGTACAGGCACTTAACAGATATTTAACTTCCTTGAGCCCAGAAATTGGAAAACTATTACTGAATCACTAAAACAAAAGGGGAGCCACTCTAACAAGGGGGCAGAGTTCCAAAGGTCTGCTCTGAGAGGCCTGCCATGCTCACCTTGGGCCTGACGGTCACAGCGCACCTTTATGCGCCACAGCTGGCACGGCCCTCCCCCTCCCCAGGCAGGCTGTACGTACTGCTGTGGACACCAGGACTTGGAGGGGTGGCATGATCTGCCCGAGGTAGTCGAGTAGGTCCCTGCCCACCGGAGCCCAGGGAAGCCCATGTTCTGGGCGGTTCGCTGTTTCATCCAGCCCTCGTTCATCACTACCCACAACCAATATCCCCAACTTTATGGAACGGGGAGACGGCGGGTCAGAGAAGTTCTGACATGTGCCCAGGTCACGTGGCTAACGAGTTGGGATTTGTCTCACTTCCTGCCTCACCGGGCCAGAGGCTGTCCTGCGCAGCCCAAGGATGCAAAGGTGTGAAGGCACAAAGCCCCACGGGAGGGCAGGAAGCCCAGGGCGGAACTTACTCTGCAACAGCTCACTAGTCAGGTTCAAGGTTTCCTTCGGTGACACACTTGCTGTAGCACCAGTGCCTGATTTTTGCGTTTTCACTCGACTCTTCTTACCCATTTTCCGACTACAGAGAAGAGAAAAGACAAAAAGTGTTACATTTCTAAAGAATCAAATCAAGTAATAAAATGTGGCACAGCAGTGGCTTAGCCTCAAGATGCTAGCATCTTACCTCATGAGTGCCATATTCTGAAGTTTCCTTCCAGAAAAAGAAATGTGTACCAAATATTAGTATTTGGAGGCTCTCTAAAGAAAAAAAAAATTGCTTTGTAGTCTCTGGAAGAAAAGTTCATTCCTTTTCACCCTCAAAAACTACAGTAGAGGCAAATTTTACTCTGGAATGTTGTCAAGTTACACAGATTTTTACTGTGTATCCTCAAATGCTTACTCCATGACACTACACAGATAAAGATGCGTATACACACGTGTATCACAAACTGCTATATGGGCACAAAAACCTCCATCTCCTCTCCCCACTTTGCTTTGGAAGAATCATTTCCCGTTAAGAGCAACTGCACCACAAGCGGCAAACTAGGCTCTCAGGACAAATGCTGAAGACACGTGGGAGCTCAAAGATGCCTCTGAGAGCTACTCTAACTCTGTGGGTTTGTTTCACTGGAAAACTCAAGGTGCCTTGCCCAGGGTCTCACGGGAAGGTGATGGCAGATCCTACACTGGAACAAGGTCTCCCAGCATCCCCCAACGCAGCACCTTGACCACCCACGAGCCTTGGGTGAGAAGTGACCACAATATTGTATAAGCAGATGAGGCAGTGGGACATAAACACACCAACAGCACGCTGGGCACAGGCTCTGTGAGGCGACTCATCTGAGAACGCTTCAGCACAAGGATTTCAAGACGCGCCTTGAGGAAAGTAAGGGATCAGGATGTGTGAAGAAAGGGTAGGGAGATTCACAGGCCAGGAGAGGAATGGGGGAGCCCCCCAGGAGGAAAGGGGCCTGGCTCAAGAGGTCGAGAGGTGGCCAGGGAGCAGTGGGGGGCTGAGAGTCCGCCCCCTGCAGGAGGGCTACAAAGGCTGCCTGAGGAGTCTGGCCCGTGTTCCTCCTCCAGAGAGAAGCGCCTTAGGATGACAGCCCAGCAAGATGGACAGTACCCAGCCAAGTAGCTACTGCAGCAACCCACACGCTGATTAATAACCAACACCATGATGCCTCTCCGTGGAGCCCTTACAAGTTACACGTCATCTCAAAGGGGAACCAGAAGGGATGGGATAAAAGCTTTGAAAGACATACTCTCCCATTATATAGATGATCCCTGACTGCATCGGAAGTGAGGGCATGGGCCCGTGTGCTAACATAATAGAAAACCGCCTACCTCAAAGGGCCAGGATATGTTTCTTCTGTCTCTAAGGTGTGGAATATAACATGTAACTTCATGTATCTAACAAGCCTTCTAAAACAGTGTGCGATACCCAGTGCACATCATCCCGGAATCAAAGGAAACAGGTAAGAAGTATCTGCAACAACCTCTGCAGCACGGAATTAGTTGCTCTGAGATCAGAAGCAGAAAAAAAATAAATAAATGGGGGTGGGGGTAGAGGAGGAAGAGCTTAAGCGGCTTTTTCTGAAGTGAAGGACTAGCCTCTTAAAAGAGAATAATGCTCCCCACGTGCACTTGCTCATGGCCAAGAGTGAAGGCACAGCCTGATCGGAGCACCAGCTGCTCTTCTCCGCATCTCGGGCTCTCTGCGGAGAACCACTGAACCTGACCCCAAGATAACCAAAACTACCCACAAGTCTAGAAAGAAAGACTTTTTTTAGGGGGGTGACTTTTTTTTTTTAATTCTTTTCTTTCTTTCTTTCTTTCTTTCTTTCTTTGGAAGGGTAGCTGACATACAATATTGTATTAATTTCAGGTGTGCAACATAGTGATTCAACATTTGTACACGCTACAAAGTGATCCCAAGTCTACCTGCCGTCTGTCACCATGCCAAGTTGTTACAGTATTATTAACTATATTCCCTAGGCTGTACGTTACATCTCTGTGACTTATTTTGTAACTGGAAGTTTGTACCTTTTAATCCCCTTCCTCTATTTTACCCATCCCCAGATCCCCCCTTGGAAAGGACTTTACACTTCCAAATACAGCTCTGCAGGAAGAACCACAGAAACTGGCCACTGCTGGTGATGGGCTTGCTTGGCCTCTCCCTTCAGCCCTGCCTGCACGTCTTTTGCGTATCAGGCTCCAAACAACTTGAAAACATCACTTTGATGAGGCACTCCAGGACCCTCGCCTTCTCCTAGCAGGCCTGGGGAAAGTGAGCCCGAGACAGCCATGTTCTCCTACACCAGCCCCCACAGTGTGGGGACCCACTACCAAATAGGCTTCTTCACTCTGTCCGCAGGCCCCTACCTCCCCCCAGGTCTTCCTGCAGGGATTCCCGGATTGCCATCACGCCCAGCATGTAGATACCTGTCTTGAGATAATGATCATCTATTAAAACAGCACCAGTGACCCTGTATGCATGCAGTGCTTATGCTCTGCCAGGTGCTGGGCTAAGATAATCTCCTCATTTGATCTTCCTAGACCCTCTATCAGTAGATCATAGCTTCATCTTTTTTTTCTTAAGACTTATTTATTCGAGAGGGAGCGCGCATGCACGCGAATGAGTAGGGGGAGGGGCAGAAGGAGAGAATCCCCAAGCAGACTCTACCCTGAGTGCAGAGCCTGATGTGGGGTTTGGTCCCACGACCCTAAGGTCATGACCTGAGTCAAAATAAGAGTCGGATGCTCAACGAACTGAGCCACCCAGGCGCCTCAGATCATACCCTCATCTTTTAGATGGCATTCTCAGAAAGGTGAAGTCCTTCAGCTTTGTCCAAGGTCACACATCAGGTAAGAAATGAAGCTAGAATTGGAACTCAGATCTGTGTGACTCTCAAGTTTGGCCACTGCCCTACTGCCTCTGTTTAAACGCAGAGCAAAAGCACAGGGCACTGCAAGGGGCAGGAGGGCTAGGTCTTCCAGACGTGACACCCAACAACACCCTGCCAAGGGCCCACACCCCTGGATGTGGCCAACTGCCCGCCATCTGCTCCTGCCCGCCTCCTGAATTCATCTCTCGCTTACACTGTAACACTAGCCTCTTACAGGTCTCTGTGGCCAAGCCCATCGCTACCACTTACATCTGCCCCACGCTGCCATCCCTGCCCTAGCACTTCGGGCTCCACCACCACCAATGGCGCCCAGTCCCTCATACAGGTGTCATCTCGTGCCTCCGTGCCCTGTCCCTCCATCTGTCCCACCCCACCCCTTACCTGCAATACATGAGTCAGGTGTTCAGTAGCCTGCTTCCTCTACAAGCCCTGCCGGTATCACCTCTTCCTGATCCCCCTAACTGTAATATGCCCTCCTCTGTACCACTTCTTCTACCACTGGATCTCACTGCACTGCAAGACTTGCTCACACACTGGCTTTCCTCCCGGATAACAGGCTCCTTGAGGCACCCTGTCCTATTTCTATTTGTGTCCCCAACTTCCAGCCCAGAACCCAGCACACAGCAGGCTCTCTGCATAGGGTGCTCATGAGCTCCCAGGGAAAAGCGCTGCCTCCTTTGGGCAGCTCTCTTAGGTCAAAATCTGTATTGCTGAAGCTCCCACCCAAGTTTCAGTCTCCTTGGAACATTAAGAAAATGTGTTAATTCCTGCCGCAGGTGAGAGGCCATTAAAGATTTGGTCACAATGATTTGAAAACACAACAGATTCCCTTGGCAGTAATACTCTGCCGTTGAATACTTAAAACTCAACTGTTCTCAGGATGTCTTTTCCTTAAGCCAGAAAACTGCCGGCTTTTAGAAATGAGTAATAGGCATAGAAATACAATGCAGGCCAAATTTCCAAACACATCCGTCAATTAGCACTGGGGAGAGCAGGTACATGGAGCACAGCCTTCAAAGGCCCAGGGAGTGTTTATAGAGACACTGACTGAAGCCACACCCAGCTAGACCCTCACGTCCAGCTCCTTCTATCCTTCCGGCTTCTTTTTCCCTGCCTCCAATCTCCTTCCCACCACACGTGGACAGTTAGCCTTAATAAATGGAGGTATAAAGTGCACCGCTTGCTAAGTGCTTGAGTAGCACTTCCAGTAAGGTACTAGCACTCACCGAGCCTCCCGGGCCCCTTCCCAGTCACAGCCATCCCCAGCAAGGGACCATCGCGTTGACTCCAGTACCATCACTTAGTTTGTTCAGTTCCTGAACTTCGTATCACAAACATGTAGGCTTCTTTTGCTCAGCACAAGGTCTCCGCACAGCTCACAGGGTGGTCCCACCTCCCCAGCACAGCCCTCGAGGTCCTTCACGCCCCACCCCACTTTACTCACCTGCCTTCACTCTACCCATCACCCCTTTACACGGCACACTCCAGGGATCTGCTCGCTCTCCCCACTTTCTGGAAAGAAGCTATCCTCCACTACCCCCTCTGTCTTCTCCTGACAAAATGTTTCACAAACGTAAAGACACAGCCAAAACATCCCCAATGTCCTTGAGGAAATTCTAGGCTCCTCTATTCATTTCATAGACTGAACCCATGAAAGTCAGTAAGAACAAGCCAAGTTCAAGGCGATTAATAGATGCTAAAGTCTTGGCTTACCTTGAGATTCAGTCTTTTGCAACTCTCTTTGGACTGCTTCCCTCCCACAGGGATATAGACCCTACTGGAGAGAAAGCAGCTTGCTTGGGAAAGGCAGTAAGAATCTTACACAGAGAGGTTAACTCACTTCATCTTAATTAAGGTGAGGGGGTTGTCTGTCCTTGTCCCCAGTGAACGTACCTCCCTAGGGTACAGAATCAAGGTCCAGGCCAGGTCTTAATCTGTCCTCCCAGAAACCAGGTTTGCACTGACCCCCTCCTGGAAAGCTCCCCAGCTGCCCTGGACTTGCTCTGCCTGGGAGTCCCCACCAAGCTCGGGCCCCTGTGCACTGAATCAGAGGTAGTCATGGGCTTGTCGCCCAGCCTTCAGTTTGAATGAACTCAGGATTCCAAAGGGTAGGGTTCTCTGTACCCAGTTCTATAGCCCAGCAGCCAATCTTCTGAGCTTGCACAACCATCGATGTCTGTGACATGCATTTACCTCAAGATTAGATATGGTTTGGCACCAATTCTTCTAGCTTCTGTAGGACACCCCTAGCTAAAGTATACCTGGAAGTATAGTGCTCGCTTCGGCAGCACATATACTAAAGTATACCTGGAAGTATACACACTTACTTCTTTTCACCCCACTGACCATCGGGCCCTGTCACAGTCCACCAGCTCCCCACACACTGCCCTCCCTCAGCCCCTGGCCTGTCATTCG